GCGACCGTCCGTCGCACCACTAGCGGTTCGATGCCCAGAAGACGGCAACGCTCCTCGTACGGTGGCAGGTTCGATGAGTCACGCCAGTTCAAGAAACGAAGAGCATATCTCACAATCTTTCGTTGAACAGATTTGATTCTAGCGATCCAAGTGGCTTGGAAAGGGCACCATACAACTGCACTTGATTCTAATATAGACCGCACAAGTGAGCAGTAAAGTGATCTGAGGCATAACGGGTCCCGGAACTCATCGGCAATTTTGAAAATAAAACCCAGTTGGCGATTGGCTCGGGAAATGATGTCGTTATAATGGATTTTGAAGGTGAGCCCGCAGTCCAGAGTAACACCGAGATCCTTTATTTGTTCTACACGGGCAATGCAACGTCCAAAGAGCACATAGTCAAACATAATTGGTTCGTTTTTACGGTGATAGGAGATGACGTTGCATTTTTCGATGCTCAGGCCCATCAAATTTCTCGTGCACCAGTCAGCGAAAATACATAGCATACGCTGGAGACACCAACAGTCCGAGAGGCTTTTGATAATTTTGTAGATTTTGACGTCATCTGCGTAGAAAAGACGACACATCCAGATGGTAACAACAGAGCGATGTCGTTTAAAAAGATCGAAAACAGCAGAGGTCCCAGGTTGCTGCCTTGCGGGACTCCCGAGTTGTTTGAGAAAACATTTGAATCCGTCGCACCAATCTTGACTCGTACAGAGCGATTCACTAAGTACAATCTGAACCATTTCACAGCCGTAGACGAGACACCTAGTATCTCCAACTTAGCAAGCAGGATTTCATGATCCACCCTGTCAAAAGCGGCTTTTAAGTCCATGTATGCAGCATCAACTTGCCATCCAGCATCCAAGCTTCGCAGACAGTCAGAGGTTAACTGCACCAGGTTCGTGGAAACCGATCGCTTGGGGTAAAAACCATGTTGGTCCGTATCGATATAATTTTTACAGCACATAAACAGAGCATCATTTACAATAATCTCGAAAAGTTTAGAGCAGGCGCACATGGAGGAAATCCCACGATAATTAGCGACATTCCGTTTGTCTCCTTTTTTGTGAATTGGAAACAGATAGGAAAGCTTCCAGTGGGAGGGGAATTCACGTTGCTGTGCCGAGAAATTAAAAAGTCGCGCAAGTGGAAGGCAGAGGTTGACTGCACATCGTTTTAAAACTGACGAGGGAATTCCGACAGGACCAGCGGCGAATGAGTTCTTCATTTTGCGTTTTGCGGCTATCACCCAGTGATGTGAGGTGTGGCATCCCGGAGGTTGCGACCAACACCTGTGTCGGTGAAGCGGAAAAATCGTGGAAGACTTGTTTGAATTGACGAGCAAACAAGCTGCATTTTTCACTTTCGCTGCAGGCCGTATCAACTCCGAGGAACATGGAACAAGGCAGCTCGGATTCTTTCCGTTTTGAATTTACAAACGACCAAAAACCTTTCGGGTTCGACCGAAGGTTTGCTTCCGTGCGTCTCACGTGCCGATTATAGAGGAAGTGGTTGTAGTTGCGATAGCGACGACTTGCGAAATTAAACTGTTGCTTGTAGAACGGTGAGCGAGAGCTGCAGTACCTTCGGAGTGCGGCGGAGCGCTGACGTTTTAGTTTACGTAGGCGTGGGTTCGACCATGGAGGCTTCTGCGGGGGACGTCTTGCTGGGACAGTGCGGAAAATAACTTCTTCCAGCGCAGAGCTGAAACAATCCACAGCATCATTGACACTAGCGGCCGTTTCGATACAGTGCCAATCTATTTCCGCAAGCGCAATGTTCAATGCCGTGTAATCGGCCCGGCGAAAGTCCAGAAAGCAGCACACGGAAAACGTTATATATTCAATTGGAGTGGATAAACTTAGTGACACGACGAGAGCGGGATGGTTGGCATCTAGATCGATCAGTGGCTCGACCGGTAGATAAACAGAAGTGTCTGGTAATGCTGAGTCATTTGCCAGAACAAGATCTAACAAACGTCCATTACGGTTGGGAAAAATGTTCGCCTGAGTGAACCCATGAATGTTAAATCCGTCCAGAAGTTCACAGCAAGCAACCGGCATATGCGATAGCAGAGGATCAATGAATGGTGTGCCACTGTCAGAGAAACGCCACTGTAAACCAGCTTGGTTGTAGTCGCCAAATAGGAGAGCGGGAGAATTGGGGCACAATTGAGACGAAATCGAGCACAACGAATTAACGTGCTCATGGATGATCGTGCAGTCGTTTTTTCGGTCGGGGGTAGGTAGACTGCGCCTACACTGAGCTTGGTTCTTGGCAGATCCACAACAATCCAGATTTGCTCTAGCAGACTTGAAATGGGCGAGGTACTTACATAGCTGGTCAGTTTCGTTGTGACGGCGAGCAGAACCCCACCACCACGCAATTTTTGACTGTTTAGGGGAGAGCGGTCGGTTCTGAACACGGAATAATGCGATCCAAACAGCTGCGGTGAGTAAATCCGGTCATCCAGCCACGTTTCTGTCAGAACAATCAAATCGTACTCAGCCTCCGAGACAGCCAGGAAAAACGGGTCGATTTTAGTCCGCAGCCCACGCACATTTTGGTAGTAAATCCGGAGACCACTCAAGATGCCACTACGCGAACTGGAAGTTGAAGGGAAATCAGGTACCGAAAGTTCGAAATCGCAATTATACTCGCCTGGAGTTACAGGCCGGAAGCCCCCGATACCACCACCGACCACAGGACCTGGACGATGACGATGGCGGATGTCAGCAGCAAGCGCGACTGGGTCGGGGGGCTCGGGAGCTTCCTTAGTGCCTGTTTTAGGGTGCCCTGGATCAGATGAAGTTGTGGCGATGGTGTCAACAGCTGGAGAAACGTAGCATGCTAGTTTTTTGCCGAATCAATAAACTCGCGAAACTGTAATCCGGCAGGCCAGGAATCCGGCCAGGATCTTTCAAACAAGGATCCAAACCGATCTTGAATGACACAAATGTCATACTGGATACGACTTTTCCTCTGGGAACCAAACGCACCACATCGACAGGTTTAGTTAAGCTCAAGCAGCGTGACACAATACTCTGCACGTCGTTATCGATGATGAGCGGGTTCAGGCGAGAAAGATATAGCCAGAATTTCTCCGGAGGTGCACTAGGAGCAATAGAGGGAACGGAAAGACCACTCAAGTCAATTGTTTTCGTTCCATTTACGGTTGGCACGTCAATATCAGGCCGGTCTTCACGACGGCGTTTTGCACCCGGTTTGGGCCAAACTGGTGTAGCACTCACTGACGGATTGCGTTGTGGCTTAGCAGAGAAATTGTCGACTTTTTTACTTAGCTCAGCCACGGCATCATGCAGTTGCCGAACCTGATCTGGCAACGAAGCAAGTGAGGGGGGTTGCATTTGTTGTTGCTGCTGATCGTCGATGAAACAGCGGATAGAGCGGCCCTGCAAACGAAGAGTATCTTTCCAGCTGATAATGGTTCCTTCAGATTGCGGATATTAATACCGCAACACTGCTGGCTGATGTGGTAGAATGTTTCGCAAAAACCACAGCGCAGCGGCTCGAGCTCGTTGATAACGAGCTGACATTCTCCGCATTGTTTTTGGTCCATTCTGCTTTGAAGCAGCTGCACAGTGAAAAGATGGAGACGGGTCGGGATTCGATGATGCGAGGATGACGTGTTGATTACAGCAAACAACAGCACGAAATTTATCGATATTCCACACGTTTCGGAGAGATTGTCGAAAATAGTATTGTTTACGCACAATTTTGAACACTAAAAACCAGATTTACACACACAAATTCTATGGTAAAACACGAACGTAAACAAGGCGAACAAGGCGAACAATTTTCGTTGTGAATCATAATCAGCGACACGATAGGCTTGGCTGTTGTCTTCGGTCACGTACTTCTGAGTTGATCAGATGAACTTGTTCAAGGATGTTGTTTCTAGGGTGGGATTAAACTTTTGAAATTTTATCGGAGAGCATTTACCAGGTAGTTGGAGGAAATTTCGTCCACCAACAATCAGGTTGCACCTTCGTTTCTGCACACGTTTCTTTCCGACAAGTCGAATTGGCATGAAAACCGTATAGGCAAGATGGCTTACAATTCCTCTTCAACTGCCCGCTCCGCTTACGTTCAAATGAGAATGAAGCCTAATGTTTGCCATAAACTATCAAAGAAATTGAAATTGTAAGCACAATCAAAATTCATTATAACTTCGGGGTCGCCAAACTCATATGATATTGACACCTTGATTGGTACACTTCGGCCTACTTGGCACGTCTAGCACAGCGCATGGTACAGCTAAATCGCGCGGCACAGATAAGGGTGTGTAGAGTTGAATACCCCTTGGGTAGCAATACGTACGCGGGTGTTACAGTGCAGTGGTTTTTTCCCTTGATTTGTTTTCCGTCGATCTTGTTTTCCGTGCTGAACACCAATGCTACGGACGCCAGGGAGGCAGCTCCCATACCTGGACCCTACCTATCAACCCATCAACTCATGAACCGGGGACCAACGGCTTTACTTCCCTTCTGAACGAAGGCATGATCAGAGATGTTATGCCTCAGAAAATCCCGGCGGCGCCAACTGGGATTGAACCCAGGCCTGCTAGGGTGATTTCACGAAATTTCTTAAAAACCGTGTATATTTTTCCTACAAATTCTTTATTTGTCTTTACACTTTTGTCTCAGACGCCATTTCGATTAGAAGTTACGTTTTCGTGCTACGATTTGATGAAAAATGTCGAATACGTCATTTTGAAGAGAGAAAAAAGCATCATTCAAAATGGCTGAATTTGAGCTCAAATGTGAATGGGTTACCATGGTTGCCATAACAAACAATAATGCAATGTTTCATGCAAATCTGAGAAGTTCTGCTATTTGGCCTGGAACTGCTCATTTACAGATTTAAAAAAATAGGACGTTCACATAATGATATAAAAATAAACAGCCATTTTCCCCTAAAAAGAAGTAATTAATATACTTAGATAAAAAAATACTCTGGGTGATTTGAAGCCTTTACGAAAAATATGGACATTGCAATTCATGAGGAAACGAATATCTTATCACGATCGCATCTATCCAGCTTCGAAACGACCCTACATTAGTAAATACATCCGCAAAGATACAATCATTACCGAAAGATAGCAACCCATATTGCAATCCATCGATCACCAGTGGGCCTCCTGAATCTCCATAGCAAGTGCAAGTGCGATTCACAAAGTACCCGGCGCAAAAATGATTGTTCCTATCCAACCCAATCCAGGTATAGTTTTGCAGGCAACTATCCATCGACGTCACCGGTAGAAACGTATATTTCAACCGTTCAGATATCTGCCCAGGATCAGCTGTAGTCCCCCAGCCTGATGCCATACTAATTGCACCCTCAAGCGGTCGTTGACCTTGTTGCGCCAACAGAACACATTTCCACAGTCCATTGTTGTACAGCATTTCGTTCAGCAAGATCAACCCGATGTCGTTGTGACCTTCAGGATGATTGAAACCCGGATGGCTAACGGACCACTGCACGTCTCGTACTATTCCTCCATGCCTATATTGATCGGATCCGACTCGTACAATCATTACATTATCATTAACCACCATCAGACAGTGGGCAGCGGTGAGAATCCATTTTGGAGCAATAATGGAACCACCACATAGAAGCTCCCCTCGGATCGCTATCGACACCTGATATGGAACGATTTTAATGGGTAAGGTGGATCCTCCCACGATCCTGCGAATTTTTCCGGAGGCTTCAGATTGAACTACAATGACTAGTAAAATGCAACAACTGGTCCAAATATTACGACTCATGTTTCAAGAAATATAGTCACACTAACCGTGTCATAGAAGCTCTACGATATTGCAAATCATGGAACGTGAAAAATTCAATTTACTCCACCATTCCTTGCACGCTTTTGTTTTGATTCCACAATAAAGTGAAGCAACATCGATTATAGCTATGAGTCGCCGTAAACCTCTCAGTATCGAACTTGCGCTGCTGAAATCATGCAAATGTGTAAGATCGGATTTTTGCCATTCTTCAGCTTCCTAATTGTATCCTCATCGTACGCGATGAATACAACAGAAGATCAAGTGAATCACCGATCGAAAAGAATTATCAACGGTAACAGAATAAATATTTCCAAAGTGCCCTATCAAGTGGCGATCCTTTGGCGCAGCTATCTGGTATGCGGTGGATCGATCATAGCTCCCATATGGATCCTCACAGCTGGCCATTGTCTGCACGATCACCCAACAACAGAGATGAAAGTCCGGGCTGGTTCAGATCGCCGACATATCGGTGGCATAATGCGCCATGTTCGCTGGACTAGCATTCATCCGCAGTATACACCGAAGAATTTGCTAAATGATGTGGCAATGATCCTGTTGGATGCTTCGCTCATTATGACCCAGGATGTGATGTGTATCAAACTGCCGCCATCGGGGTCGTTTCCAGCCACAGGAAAGCGGGCACTCGTTTCCGGATGGGGTATGAAAGATGCAAACTCTGACAAGGGCAATCCCAGTTCTTTCTCGACTTTGCTGATGTTTACGTACCTTCCGATAATGGACTTCGGCACGTGCAGGCACAACTACAAAAAATTTAAAATGTCGCAGAATTCGCAGATCTGCGCCGGTTATCCTCAGGGTGGAACGGATGCCTGTACCGGTGACTCGGGAGGACCACTGGCGCTGGAACAGTATCAGGTCGGTGTGGTTTCATGGGGTGTCTCCTGTGCAAAGCCCAAACAGCCTGGCGTCTTCACCAACGTTGGAACGTTCAGAGAATGGATCGACCAGACCACCCATAAGTTTACGCGTCCTGGCGCATTGAAGTGTAGTCGGTATTATTGAGATGTCTACTGAAAAAATGATCATTGCATGTGTGTAATAAAAACTGTTTGTTTTGGACGATCGGATAAGCAATAGATGGAATTGAATAAAGTACACTTAGGTCTTTTTTTACACGGGGGATACGATCCGTGTAAAAAAAAACCGTGTAAAAAAAAACCTACGAGATTTTGATTTTTCGCATGCTTAAATGTTTTAAAAAAATCGGATTTTGATGCCATTTGTAATTAAAGCATGATATGGTCCATATAGACATATTTTAAAAATTTCTGTATTTACACCAAAAATTGTGATTTTTTATTAAGTATGCCATTCGATTACAAATAGCTTGAAACGGATAATGTGATTGGAATCAAGTCGATAGGTTGTATCGTTGTCGAGAAATCGTTAAAAACGTACCGTGTAAATCGTGGAAAACCGTGTAAAAAAAACCGTGTAAAAAAAGACTTCAGTGTATTTGTTTTGGCCGTCTTGGTATGATGCTGAGCTGAACCTTGCCCTTAAATGGAAAGGGAACTTTAAAAGCCCAAAACCAAAATTTTGATCTTGAAAATGTGTCCATGAACTGAATTTAGGTTTTGATGTTTTGGGTCTCCCTTCAATGTGTCAATATTTTATAAATTAAGCTACACGAATGAACTGGTTCATAATTTTACTGAATGGATTAAAATTTCTCTATAAGCTAAATCGTTTTTCCCTCGATCAGTTTATTCCTTTAATAGATCGTTTGCTCTGTTGAATGCTCGATAATTCTAGCTCAACCGTTGTTTAAAGTGGCGAAATATTTGGTCTACAGACAAAAACAAAACGTAGCTCTTTCTCCTCAATCGTTGTAGATACACGCATTTAACGTTCAATTTAAATATTATTAATTTCGCAAATCTCCCGCCACAGCGCTGGCATCGGATCAATTTGACGATTCTACACTCTAGATACTGTAGATTCCATAGATAAGCGGAGGCAAAGTATAATGTAGCCAAACGAACTGTCAGTTAATGTAGCCAAGCGAGCATGACGTCATCATTGTGTTGTTTGAAGGAGAAGTATTGTAATATTATGAGCACAAAACGCTTTCCACACTCCACATTCCGATTTATTTCGCGGACAACGGAAGAAGGATCATTCCTAGTTGAACACTCAGTCGGTTAACAACGTCCCGGTCTCAGTCGCGCGGCATCTAGTTTTTTTTCGGTGTTTTTTCCGCCCGAGCGGTTTTTTCACCCCCCCATTGGGTGCCCCAAGTGACCAGTGTGCAACAGAGGAAGTGGAATTCCATGGGCCGAGCCCCTTGGAGTTGCCATCCAGCTTTAATTCACCCCGGTAATCCATCCGGTCGTCAAGCCAGTTTTCCATCATCGTGCCGACCCACCAACACCAACCATCACCAACAGCAGCAGCAAACGGACCATCTAGCTGCAACGGCTGATAGGTTGTTTACAACCGGCATAAGTATTAGACAATACATTTTGCAAGTCCATTGCCTCCCTATTGTAGTTTAATTTTGCCTCGTGGCGCGTGACTCTGTCTCTCACCCCTGGTAGGGGAGTATGGGTTATAGTGAGACAACTTTTTGCAAGTAGATATAAGTTTTTTTTTTTTTCGATTTTTTTTTCTGTTTGATTTGTTTGTACGTCGGGCAAAAAAATTAATTACTAGTAATTAAAATTAATTAATTAGTGAAGGTTTTAATTTTTTTTTTCCTTCTTAAGTGGTTGCGCACCGCTTTTGCGCAACACTTATGGCATCTTCCGATGCCTACGTTACGCGAACCAGATACTATGAACCGTCTTCGAAAGGACCATGGGTTGTCTTTTTTCGGCCCAAAAATAAACCTTTGAAAACTCTCGACATAACGAGAGATTTGCTGCGTAAGTATCCGGGAATCTTGGTACACAAAGAAAGATTCAACAAACTGCGTGTAGAAGCACCGACTTATGATGTGGCAAATAAAATTGCTGAACACGAGCTTTTTAGTGTTGAGTATAACATCTACATCCCTTCTCGAGATGTGGAGATAGAAGGCGTGGTCTCCGACGCGAGTCTGACTGTCGAGGACTTGAAACATGCCTCGGGAACTTTTAAAAACTCGACATTCGCTACCGCGCTAATGAAGATACTGGATGTAAGGCAACTGCATTCAGCATCTTTGCTAGACGGTAAAAAAGTTTATAAACATTCAGACTCGTTCCGGGTGACTTTGTCAGGTTCAGTTCTCCCAAACTTTGTTAAAATTGATGGTGCTTTTTTTCCGGTGCGACTGTTTGTACAGAGGGTATATAATTGTACCAACTGCAAAAGGCTGGGACACTCGGTCAGCCATTGCGGCAACAAAACTCGTTGTGGCAAATGTGGTGAAAACCACAAAGAGGATTCTTGCCACAAAGAGGATTCTTGCCACAAAGAATCAGTAAAATGCACTTACTGTGGCGAAAATCCTCACCCCTTGCAGGAGTGCCCGATGTACAAACAGCACTCCGATAAAGTGCAGCGTTCAATCTCTGGACGCTCCAAGCAGACATATGCTCAAATGTTGAAGGCTGCATTAGCCGTCCAAGATGCAAACCAATTTTCGGTTTTGTCAGTTGAAGAATCGGACTCTGACTCATCCGATGAAGGTGATTCTACGGTGGTACACGCACCTTAAAAAATGGACGGTTCCTCAAAAAGAAAATGCCCCTCCCCGAAAGTGCGCCGTAAGAAAACTAAAGTCACCTCCAGACGATTGCCAAATTCCCAGGGTAATGGGGATGAAAAAACAAAACCGAAGGCTCCTGTTGATCCAATCCCTGGATGCAGCAAGAATTTTCCGCCATTGCCCAACAAAGATAAAAAAATAAAAAAGCTGCTCCTCAAACTTCTCAAAAGAAATCCAAGTCCGAACGAGGTTTGCTAGCTTTTTCGGACATTGTGGAATTCATATTAAACATGTTCAACATACAAGACCCTCTAAGAAGCTTAGTTTCTGCCTTGCTTCCAACGTTAGAATCATATCTTAAGCAATTGACTGTTTCATGGCCCCTCCTTGCATCAATCATATCTTTCGATGGATAATTCGTCGTACGAGGTTGAAGATATATTCACGGTGCTACAGTGGAACTGCCGTAGTCTAGTGCCTAAACTAGACTCGTTCAAATTTTTACTTCACAATTCTGATTATGATATATTTGCTCTCTGTGAAACATGGCTTTCTTCCGATAAAGAACTCAACTTCCACGATTTTAACATTATACGCCTGGATAGAGACGATTCTTATGGAGGAGTACTTTTAGGGATCAAAAAGTGCTACCCTTTCTACAAAATTTCCCTTCCTGTTCTATCCGGCGTCGAAATCGTTGCTTGCCAAATAAATGTGAAGAACAAAGATCTTTGCATAGCTTCAGTATACGTTCCACCAAGAACCTCCATTAGCCGTAGTCAACTCTGGAATCTAGTTTCGATTCTTCCATCCCCAGTATTAATTCTGGGTGATATGAACTCCCATGGTACTGGGTGGGGCGATCTATATGACGACAATAGAGCGGTTATTTTTTACGATTTATGTGACGATTTCAATTTGACTATTTTGAACACTGGTGAAGCGACACGTATAGCAAAACCTCCGGCTCGAGAAAGCCGACTCGACCTATCTTTGTGTTCAAGATCGCTATCATTGGATTGTCAGTGGAAGGTTATCAATGATCCCCATGGTAGCGATCATTTGCCAATCATCATTTCAATAAAGTGTGGCCCTCACTCTGCAGAACCATCTCGGGTTCCATTTGATCTTACAAGAAACATCGACTGGCAGAAATATGCAACGGCGGTGACAATCGGTGTCGAATCAATAGATGCGCTTCCACCATTGGAAGAATATCGATTCCTCGCCGATTTGATTTACAAAAGCTCACTGGAAGCACAAAAAAGAAAAGTTCCTTTAAAAGGAGACCAGCCACACCTGGTTGGGACGAAGAATGCACAAAATTGTATGTAGAAAAATCTGATGCTTTCAAAGCTTTTCGTAGACACAAAACCTCCACTTACTTCGAGGAATATTCAAAGCTTGAGACAAAGCTGAAACAATTAATCAAAGCAAAAAAACGCGGTTATTGGCGCAATTTCGTCGAGGGACTCTCACGAGAAACCTCAATGAACACCTTGTGGAGCTCATCTTTCAATGAGAGTGAAGAATACTCCAACCGATGGATATTCGATTTCGCTAAAAAGGTCTGTCCGGACTCAGTTCCAGCACAAAATATTCTTCGAGAAGCGTCTCCTAGCGGCGGCTCTCTGGATAGACCATTCTCAGTGCTGGATTTCTCTATGGCTCTTCTTTCATCGAACAACTCCTCACCGGGAAGCGATATGATTAAATTCAATCTTCTGAAAAATCTCCCAGATATCGCTAAAAGACGCTTGCTAGATTTATTCAATTCCTTGCTAGAAAACAACATTGTACCGCCTGAATGGAGACAGGTCAAAGTAATAGCCATTAAAAAACCTGGCAAATCAGCGTCTGACCATAACTCATACCGTCCGATTGCTATGCTTTCGTGCATTAGGAAATTGTTGGAGAAAATGATCCTTCGGAGACTCGATCACTGGGTCGAATAAAATAACTTGCTATCAAATACACAGTTTGGGTTTCGCAAGAGCAAAGGAACAAACGATTGTCTAGCGCTGCTTTCCACAGATATTCAACTGGCCTTTGCACACAAGGAGCAATTGGCTTCAGTATTCTTGGACATTAAGGGGGCTTTTGATTCAGTTTCCATTGAAATTCTGTCAGACAATCTGCACAGATGTGGACTTTCTGGAATTTTAAATAATTTCTTGTACAATTTGTTGTCAGAAAAGCAAATGAACTTTTCTCTTGGACAACTGACAACTTCCAGAATTAGTTACATGGGCCTGCCCCAAGGCTCATGTCCCAGCCCTCTTCTTTATAACTTTTATGTCAAAGATATCGACAACTGTTTGGCAGAACAATGCACGCTAAGACAACTTGCAGATGACGGTGTGGTTTC